GTACGAGAAATGCTTATTCCTGCAAAGAATAAGCTGTCTTTCCACAGCAGCCTGAGGTGAAGATCTGAGCAGAGGTCTGTATTGAATCCTCCTGTTTTCAGGTTCTGGCTGCTGTCTACAAGGCTTTGAATGATCATCACGTGTACCTGGAGGGGACACTGCTGAAACCCAACATGGTGACGGCTGGGCATTCCTGCTCCAAGAAGTACACCCCTCAGGATGTAGCCATAGCAACTGTCACTACTCTCCTCCGCACCGTTCCTGCTGCTGTTCCTGGTGATTCCTGATCCAGTCCTTTCTCTTCATTCCCACTCTCTCTCCTACCTCTGACATACCTGCTCCTCTGTCCTCTGGCAAGTAAAGACCGGGGATTGAGGTGGCTGGAACATTATTTCTAAACCTCAAAACCTCTCTTGTAGGAATCTGCTTCCTGTCTGGAGGTCAGAGTGAAGAGGAGGCTTCTCTCAACCTGAATGCCATGAATCAGTGCCCTCTGCCTAAGCCTTGGAAACTGACCTTTTCCTATGGGAGAGCCCTGCAAGCCTCTGCCCTGGCTGCATGGTTGGGCAAAAGCGAGAACAAGAAGGCTGCTCAGGAGGCCTTCCGCAAGCGGGCACAGGTACGAGGCTTCCCCGAGCAGAAAGAAGAATGTCACCATGAAGGGACACACGTTGTCACCTTCCTAAGACTGCTCTTGATCCCACCCCTCCTGGCACTTCTTGTTCACCAGGGGCACTACTCTGTTATGTCTGCCTTGCTTGGTTACTCCTGCTGGTTGTTCTTTACACACCGGCCTTGCTTACTCCATGCTGATGGTTTCCCCCTCTTTTCTTTCTTTTTTTTTTTCCTCTTCTTTTTCAGATTAACAGTTTGGCTTGCAGGGGCCAGTATGTCCAGTCTGGGAAGAATGATGCAGCTGCCATGCAGTCCCTGTTCACTGCCAGCTACACCTACTGAAACAACAGGAACCTTCCTTCCTCCTGTCCCTTCTCACAGAGTGGAAGATATTCAGAAATTAAAGAAAAACATAGAAATCTAATTTCCCTTACCCTACACCAAACTGGAGATAGAATGGCTTAGCTTCCTCTCCACCCTTCACTCCCACAATTTACCAAGGGGATATTCTTTTTTCATTTGCACATTCCAAGGAAAGGGAATTTTTTCCAAACAACAAACAACAGCTGCCAATGAATCATGAACCTACCGTCCCTCAGTTTGAAACTTAGCCCCTGGAATAGCAGGCAGATTCAGTAGTTCTCTAGCAATTCAAATAGCTACCCTTGCCCATTACCACATTTAGCAGCCACAATCCTGAATTATAAAACCTGACCGTGTATTCAATCATGTCAATAAAACAGTAATTGAAAACTAATCTCTACCTCACAATTCTTTTTGTTTTGTGTAAACTTTACAATAACTTTCACACATCTGTGCTTTTTTGTGATCCTTGCAAAGATTGAGTCACAAAATGTTGAAGCTGGTGAGCTTGGGAAACTCTGAGGATATCAAAGGGAAATAACCCAATAGTGGCACAGCTGGAGAGGTTAATCCTGCCAACAGAAGTCCGGCAGACAGGAAAACACTTGAGAGATATACACAGCAAGCAGTTCTGGGGAATCAGGCTGCAGATAAACAACACTACCTTCAGAAGCATCTCATGTCTCTGGAGAACCATTACTGGTGAGATGAGGCTGCTAAACACTGTGTTAGGGTTGCACACATTGAGTCAGGGCTGTGTAAAGTCTGTCCTTACAAATCACCTCTACACTGGCGTTCTACACAATAATTAACACAAAGCATGCATGAAGGCATCTTGGCCTACCTGTGGTGTAGCTTGAGTAATGAGGCTGATGTTGCAGACACACAGTTTGATCTTTGGCACATTGCTGTGCCCCTGTTAAAGGTGTAAGCTTCGTTAGCAAAAACACAGTCAGATGGTCATGAAAGAAGGCATAAATGGCAAAAACAGCAGGCCTAAGGTTATGTAGGAGTATTTGCTTGGCTACATGCTACACCAATCAACTCATGAGGCCTTGGAGCAGCCCCCTAAACAGTCAGGGTCAGGCAACCCAGGGGACTCCATGTCTTGTTCAGGGTCACTCTCTCTGCTGGCTGCTCCTCCTGGCCACTGGCACTCGCTGCTCCTGCCAACAAATACAGGGAAAACAGGCAAAATCACTGTCCTGTAACCACCTCCTCAGGGCCTCTGAGTTAGCAACCAGTGTGTCACACAGGCGATAAATAAACAGTCAAAACCCTTCAGTGGATCCAGTCACTGCATAATTAAGGCTTGTGTTAAGTCTCTCCTGACAATGAACAAACGGCCAGTGATTTGCCAAAAAAACACTCCAGAGCCTGATGCTAGTGTCAGGAATAACACCTCTTTCCTGCTTCAGCTGTAGTCCTCTGGATCTCCACATACCTGAGTTCACAGAAACCTCTGCTCCTGATGAGCAGCATCCTACTGATACTCTGATTGAAGAGGAATCTCAGAACCATTTGCATTAAAAATGACCTGAAAGATCATGTTTTTCAACCCATCCAGTTCCAACCTCTCTGCCATGGGCAGGGACAGCTTCCACTAGACCAGGTTGCTCTGAGCCCTGTCCAAACCTGGCTGTGAATATTTCCAGGCATGGGACATTCCCAGATTCTCTGGGCGACCTGTGTTAAGGCCTCACTGCCTTCACAGTAAAGAAATTATTCCAAATATCTACTCTTCCCTTTTTTAGTTTAAAACTGTCCCCCATTATCCTGTCACTGTCTGTGTAGAAAGTTCCTCTTCATCTTTTTTATCAGCCACCATCAGCACCAAGATTACAAAAATTTTCCCCTATTTATACACATTAGTAAGCAAAATAATTAATATTTATTGACTACAAGTTTTCTAGTTTTTATTAGAAATAGTATTCTGTCTGCTGTCAGTTAATGAGCCTCTTTCTTCTCATGCTAATTAGTCTGCATGCTCAGTCTTTCTTTTCAGTCAGTAGTTTCTTAAATTGCTGGCCACAAGTTGATGATCTGTCCTTATTGGAGTGGCCTTTTACCCCATCCGAGCTGATTCAGCTCAGGTGCTGCGTTTGCTTTATCAGTTTGTTCCTTGTCTCGGGGGTTCTGCCAAATGTCCTTGTGCCCATAAATCCTACATTCTTTGTGTCCATGAGAGCTGTGAATTTCAGTAATAAAGGTTCACTGAAATCACTCAGTAATGGTGAAGTCTCCAACTTCAGCCCTATAAAAACAGCTGCTGTCGAGGCATCTTGTTGAATTCTCCAGTGTCTGTTAAGGGTCCAGTTTTTTAAGTCTTTGAGTGTTAGTTTTTCTTCCCATCTAACTGATTATGCTGGTCTGATTTTAATCAGAGGAAGGAAGCAGTGAAGTCAGGAGGACAAGAAAATAAATTCTGAGAAATGCATGGTACTTTGAGTGTTTTTTGTAAAACAAGTTGTTTCCAGTGAGGTTGAGAGTCTGTGTGATCTTTCTGGGAATAATCCAGAAATACCTGGTTATACCACTCCAAGCCTTGAACCCTTGCTCCTCTGTTTTTTTCAGTGTGCATATGTATGAAGCACACTCAGGCACTGCTGCTTTTGTGTGTTACAGTGCTCAGTTTCTCAACTGAGCAAATTTCTCAAGTGCTGCTTCTCAAATGCTCTGAAGAAATTTAAGAAATGCTTTCTTTTCTTCTTTTGGCTCTTGGAGAATTACAGAATACTGTAAGTATAAACTTTCATGTTCCACTACGGGGTGAACTGGGGTGAGTGCACTGAGAATGTTTCACTGATCATCATGAATGTTCACAAATCCCTCCCCTGTAGCTTATGAGAAACCACAGTGTGACAAATAAGTAACTGTCATCTTGTTGGCTTCAGAGGCTCTTTGGGAGCAGTGAATTGGAAGTTACTTGCTTCCTGTTTTGTGGTGTCTGAGTTGAGTGAAATTGCTGTTTCCCTGATCTCAGACATACCAGTCCCTTGGAGGTGCAGACCTCATGCTTCCATCAGCAGAGAAAGCTGCAAGGCCTGGAGTACAAGGGAAGAGGATCACACATGGCTTTCGAGATGCAAAACATTTAACTGCTTGTAACAAGCTGAAGAAGCAGAAATCTGAAATGACAGCAAAGTCACAGCACCTGTGCCATGGGAGGGCAAGATTTCTAGATGATTAATTACTTTATCCCTGATGAAGTCTGTCACTTTTAAAAGTTTGTCACTTCAGTTGAATTGAATTATAAATAAATAAATATAAGCCCTACTCACGCATCTTTCTTTGTTTTAAGCCAGAGCACTTGTGAAGATCAGAAGAAAGTGTGAAAAAGCCAGCTTGGGAGGGTATTTCTTGATAAAATGACTCAGAACAGATTTTTCCCTTTGGAATTTTGATTACAGCTGCAGTGAGGAGCCCAGAACACTTAGAAAAGGCTCCTCACGGCCACAGACAGCGTGGCCCAAGTCTGATCCTTATATTCCTAAGCCAGAAGCAGACATCAGTAGAGTCAGAAGAAGGAGGAACACAGACATTCCAGGGGTTTTTTTGTGTCATAGGTAAATGAAAGACTGGCTCACGTGTTTGCTTTTTTAATAATTTTTTTTTGCTTCTGTTTTGGAAAAAATATTAAAAAAAAAAGCCAAGAAGAACCAACATGGAAATGTGAGGTAAACATTCCAGTAAAAGTACAGAGGCTCCATTCTTTAAAGGAGACACACAGCAGTTATCACCATGCTAGAAGAATGAGATGCAGGAAAATCCTAGAAACAGTGAAAAATCATTTAATGAAGCCTTTGCCCTAATTCTAACCATTGTAAATGGGCTTTTTTTTATTGTTGTTCTTCTTCCCTTCCCCAACCCACATTTAGTTATCTTTATAATGCTAAGATGAAGTTGTTAAATTGTAACATAGCAGTTTTGATATAAATTCTGTATGGCAGAATTTACAAAAAAAAATGCAGACTGCTACTACAGACTCAGCTTCTTTCTGTCTTTCTTTCTGCTTTTATGTCTTTTTCTTTCTTTCTGTCTTTCTCCCTGTCTTTTCTTGTCTTTGTCTTTTTTTTTTCCTGTCTTTTCAAAGCCCCTCAGGAAAAAAAATATATTTGGGTCAGCAAAACTGGCTTCTTGGCTGTGCCAGTTTGAAAGCCAAGGAATGCCAACCTGGTGAAGGAGTGGTGCTACTTTTCCTTTGCACCAGTGTCACTAGTTACCCCACAAATCTATGATGAAAGGATGAAACACTTAAAGCGCAGCCTCAGCCCCGCAGTGGTGGCTGTATATCCCCATAGTCAATTCCTGAAGCCAGGTTTCACTGGGAGCTTTAGCTGGGCCTCGGGGAGGAATGTGGATCTAGGGAGATGATATAGTCAGCTCACATGCTATCAGCTACTACTATAAATTTTGACGTCCAGTCTGTCTATACTGCAGACCAGGGATGTTGTTTTAGTTATTCTTCAATAACTAGCACAATCACCCACACCAGAACAACCAGGCTTTGATTCAGTGAGGTGCTTAAGGACATGCTTCTAGTTTGGGAACTGGGTGGCAACTGAAGTCCATGAGACCTAGGGAACACTTAAGTAGCTCACTGAATCAAAGATGGATTTTTGTTTTTTGTTGATAGTATCATTCAGGTTAGATTCCTGATCACTGTTATTTTCATATGAATTAAATATATGCAATTACTTCTGATCCATGCTGAGTTTACTCCAATGAGAATCTGACCCAGCACTTCTTATGGTAAGAAAAGGTAAAAGTGATTTTTTTTCCCCCACAAGATATATAAATTCAAAACTGAGAAGAAAAAAATTTGTGTACAAATATCACATAACAACATCAACAATTCTATAGATGTAGTTCCTCAGTGCACACTTTAAACAAGAAAAGGGATTTTTTTGTTCTTTTTCTGTTTTGCTTTTAAAGTCTGGCATAATAATATTAAAGCTGACAAAAAATCAGGGCAAGCTACATCACTTCCTCATACAAAAAAAGTACAAAACATTAGCCTCTAACTAGACATAACATAATACTGGTCATCACAGTTAGACATTTAGTAACTGTGTGTCTTGGAGTATTTTACTGGAGGGTAGTAAAAAATAGCTTCAGCTGCTGATCTCCCATCTCAGGTTACTTCAGTCATAGAGGCAGAGTGATTCTGCAAAGAGGAAAAGGCAAACACATGAATGTTTGTATACAGCAGTCTGGCACTGACATACCCTACTAGTGTGCAAAAGCAGTGGGAAAAACCCTCACTCATAAAACCTGCATTGTAGATGTATGGTCAATAATTATAATTTAAGAAAATCATGTTGATTCCTGGTGGACATCAACAGTTAAAGTTCAGTTCCTACCTGCATTTCACAGTCCAGTAGCTATAAACAGCTGACTGGACAAAATGTTTCTCACAGCTCATGAATATTGTCACCTGCTCAGCCTTTCTGTCTACACAACACAATGTGGATATATATAAGTAGCACTTAGTTTCTGGACTATAAACCTATCAAGAGAATATCTAATGCACACAGTTCTGCAGATTTAGTAGAAAGTCTTCCAGTAAATCTTTGCCTAATCAAAACTGAACCTCTTCAATTAAGCAAAGTATTTCCAGACATTAGAGACCACATTTTTCCCATTTTTTAAAAAAATCCTCTTTTCAGTTTATTTCACAAAGAGTTTAACAAAAGTTGCTATTGATCTTGCTACACATCATGTGTGATAGGCCATCTAATAAAGGAAGTACAATTTAAAGACCAAAGAAATTATACCAGTGTATTTCAGATAACTCAGGAACTACAGTTTATCCTTGTTCCCAGGATTTCTGGCAGCTTCCATTTACTTGTCTGTTTTGAAAGGACTGAATATGATGCGGTTATGCCAAAATAAACCATTTAAATTTAGGTATTTTAACAGAAACACTGTCAATATTGATATTCCCACTAGCTATTTTTTTGCAGGCTTGAAAGAATGCTAATATTTTTTCTTCTGATGAATTAGAGATAGAAAAAAGTATATGATTTCTTCTTATTATAGAAGATACTGAACAGTAATAAGGACAAAAAACCTAATCTCTGTAATATTTTTGAGGACAGAATAGTTTATCCTCAGGAAAGAGTAAATGCTTCATACATCTCAAAAGTTTTCTAGAATGCAAATAAGCAGAATTATTTTTACTTTTCTCTCAGTTTTCTATTCTTCTAAGCAAAAGTTTGTAAGGCATGTGAAATCCTACTTTGTTAGCTGTGGACATGTATGGGGACAGAAGATCTACAGTATTGGGTAGTTTCAGGAATAAATGCCTCAAACTCTGCTATGATGCAGATTCACTCTGTTCAATGGGCTTGAAATGAGGAACATGTGGTCAGGTACAAAACTACTTTTTACTCTGATGCAACTGAAAATATGCTCGGTGATGATCTGGATAGATTTACAGTACCTGTGCACTCAGTGTCTCCAGAGGACTTTCCACCCTGGGAAAAGCCATTAGTGGCATTCCTCGTGGGTCTTCAGGCTTCGGTTTAGAAGGAGCTGCATGACTGCCCTTAAAGTTATGGACAACACATATCCCCTGTGCAATGCAGAAAAAAACAGAGTGAGGTCAGTATATCCCTCCCCAGGAAAAACCTGGAGGGAGAATGAGTTACCATGTACACAACTGAAAGAATTTAACCTGAGTTTGGGTTCAAGGCATCATCTGTGTCAGCCTTGGACCACAGTGTGGTTACTGACATGGCTGGGCATGATGGACTGCCTTGGTGATGAACCATTCTCAGCCTTTTTACATTTCACACTGGATACAGCAGAGACCCCCATGTATGCCTTATTATCCCAGAACCAGAGACTGCCCAAATGATGCCCTTTAGTGGCCAAATATTCCCTTCAGACTCTGACTTTGTCATTTCTAAACAGTGAACACAGCTCTGTGGAGGGTTGAACCTCCCTCACATCTGGATGCCACCATTTAGCACCATTCCTGCATGCTTCCAGCACCACTGCGGTTGTGGTGCTGGAAGCATGCAGGAATGTTTATCCCACAAATCCCTCCCTTATGCATAACCAGACTCATAGCACTCACATGGTGATGGTGATGCCAGTAACAGCAACCATGCACAGCAGTGGGTAGCTTGAGGACATGATATAAAGAAGGTACACAGGAGCTGACACATTTGCTGGTGGAGTGATTTCTTGCTGACTGCTCCCCTTCACTGCCACAGACCCAAGCAAGAAGCAGGCTGCAGCCCGGGTGGGTCCTGTGCCAGCAGGATCTGTGCCAGGGATCTGACAGCACCCCTCTGGGGAGGCCCCTTCCACCACTCTGAAATTCAGCTTGTGACACTTGCAGGGTGCCAGAAGGTCTGCAAGGTCAAAATACAGCTGGGGACAGGCTGTCACTGCCACCAACAGGTACTGGGAGCACAGACACTGTCCTGGCCTGATAGATGGGGCAGCTGCCTCTTAAGTTGCATGGGTGAGATTTAAACTGCCCTTCCCAGCAGGAACCAGACAAATTATTCACATTAAAGTCAAGGAGATTCAGGTCAGAGGCTGTAGACATCTTTTTATCTGAAATGAGCACAGGAATAAATGACTCTTGAAGGTTTGCTGATGCTTTTTCAAGTACTGAATAGAAAAAAAATGAGTGACAGGACAATCGAGATTTAAGGGATCTTTGAAACCTAATCCCTCCTGATTACAGGGATAAAGTGTCTGTTGCTATGTAGTGGATAGTTTTGAAGCATATTTTGATTAAATGGAACCCGGCACATTTCTTGGTATAAGTGAGAGTGACCTGGACTGCTTGCTGTGTGAGTAAATCCTCAGCAAGAGACCTCTCACCAAACAAAACATTTAAACCACACAGCCCACAGGAGAGCAAGTTACACTCAGAGTCTGGAGAGATTCTCTTCCTAGATTCAGTGAGAAGGCCTTTCATGTATTTTAGAATGTTTGTGAGGGGGAAACGATTTCAGCTTTCTCTAAAAGCTGCAAAGGGAGGTAGTTTTATCTCCAAGGGAATTTATCCTGACCTTCCCTTCTATTGCACTTCTTGTATGGTCTGAAACAAAATGGAGAACTGGGATCACAGCTTAGAGCCCCAGAGAACACCCTGTACCTCACATTTTTGCCAAATACAAGCCACACAGAGGGGTTTTGCAACACGGAGAAGGAGTCTCAAACACACCCTCCTTTTGATATTGAAAACTACACCACCTTTTGCAGCATGTTCCAGGATAGATCAAGTAAGAACACGGAGAGTAATTAAAATAATTGAAATACAGAAAATGTACAAATGCTACCAAATTAGACTTACCAATTAGTACGTTCCTGATTTCATATTCGGATTCTTTGATAAAACTTTTAATCAGATGGGACTATCTTGTAGCCTGGGATCTTGCAGGCTACAAGTGATTACAATTTTTTTTTAACTGTGTTATATTTAAAGGGAATGCAGAAAGACTGATGGACTTACCAGAAACAAGGCCACAGCACTCCCCAGGATGAAGCCTGCAATCACATCTGAACAGTGGTTTCGATACTCAGACACTCGATTTAGCCCAGTGAGGAAGGCAGCACACAGGGTTCCCAGACACAGCACGGGCTTGGCTAGCCTGCTACTCTTTGTTTTAATTGTGCTTGTGATGTACATCTGCAAGAAAGGGCAAACCAAAAATAAAAAGGGTTTCCACCAGAAACACATCTTTCCCACCTGGACAAATCCTAAATCAGCAAAGATGTGACAACCCCCCTGATTCATTAAAAAATAAAAAGGCACTGGGAAATGGAGGAAGAGGTTTCAGGTAATTTATAGAACAACTTTAGGAGTACAAACCCAATACTGTTAAGTTATGGGAAATATCCTCCTGTATTTATATACTGGACCTTTTCCGAGCAGTTATGCACAGGCTCAGCTTTACTGATTTTGTGCAAGTACCAGTTCATATGGTGGCAAACCTGCACTCTGAATGCACACGATTAAATTTTGCAAAGGGACACAGGAGTTCATGTTTATACTCCTGCAGAAACTGTAATGTGCAGAAGATGGAGTGCTTAGAATGTGTATGAACTAACTGCTCCAGTTTCCTAGATGGTTTTAAGTTTAAGGAACAGAAAACACAGATAAACCATTCCAACCATTTCCCCTGTAAGATGAAAGGAAACAGTGTGAGAGAGGTTTCTTTCAAAACAAAGTTGATTTTGGGTTTCACATGAAGTTTCACTGTTCTCAAAATATTTTTTAACGAATCCCACATGATTCTGGAAGTTTACTGGGAAATTTTTTAATACATTCTGACAGAGAGTAAAAACATGTGGCTCACAGTTAGCAGCCTCTCATTAGTGCCAGAGCCACAAAATAACAAAGATGAAGCAAACTGAGCCTGATAGCAAAGCAATTCATTAAAATCCTTTTCAGACAACAAGTATGTAAGCCCACGTGATTTCCAAACTTTGATAATTTGAGATGTTGCTGCTTGTTTTGTTTTTCACACCGGAACCTGACTGCAGCAGATGCTTTATGACAGCTAACAGTGAGCACTAGGCGGCAATCTTGCCCCAGTCTTGGCTGGCAGGTTAAGCTGCACCTATCACGGAAACCCACATTAAGGTTCTTTGGAAACAATAGGGAAAAAATCAAATCATTGCCACTGCGTGAATAATTACCACCCACCTTTTCACCCTATGCACTCCTAGTCAATTCAATCGAGCAACAGGAAGCCAGATTGCTTTCCTGTTCCCCACCGAAGCACCACTGCTGTTTGCAGCGTCCGAAGGAAAACCCATAACCTCTTTAAAGTAACAATGCAGTCCTGCTGTGACAGCTGTGAACCACAGCTGCAGAGAACAACCCACACATGCTTGTCTCCTTACAGGTATGAGATGAAGCTGGATCTTTGGGTTACCCACATGGGAGAGCTCTCTTTGTCACAGACGGGAAGCATCTGTAATTGGAGTTTCACACGTCTTGGCAATAAAATGTAAACTTGTAGTAAAAAGAACATTTTTTAGCAAGGAAGGTAATTAACGATGTGAACAGATTGCTGAAGGAAATCTGTTAAACACTTGTGAGGAGGGTTTTAAACAAGACGAACTGTTTTCCCAGAAGGTGGGCTCCAGTTCGTTCCTAAGTCACACTCTGTGTTCGGAAATAACTGGGAGAGCTTCTCCATTCTGATCAGACTTCCCAATCACTGCAGCTTGATCTCTATTGTCCAGGCCCAAAAGCCAATATATTTTTTTAGGATTCCCATAGTGCTTACCCACATTTAAAGCATGGTTTCAGAGCTCTGTACAAGAGACCAAAATCTCAGTGAAACCAAAACATTTGGTTTCCTACATACAGCAAATGTTTTTGAAAATTTCCCACAATGCCATCCATAGAGTAAATTTATTTACAAAACTCTAAATGTTGAAACCAGAGAGAAGGAAAGATGTGAATAAAAAAATATGTATAGAACACATTAAAAGATAAACTACACATGATTTAACTATTTAATTTGTCTGTTCAGCTTTTTTGCTGCGATCTTATCAGTAGACTTAAGCAGTGTATTTAGCAATATGCCATGTGTGATAGCAGCATTTATCCCAAGTGATTCCTCTCCCATTTTTTTTCAGAGAGACAAAGTCATAGACAGGGAGGCTTTTGGTCTGCAAGTTTAAAATAGACATATACATTTTTATATGTATATGCAAATATATGCATGTATTTAGAACACGTTATATCTATAATGAGAAAGGCAGAGTGGAAGAAATCTGTCTTGTCCCTTCAGTAGAGGAGATTTGTGACAGTTTATTTTCCTTGGAAAATTCAAAATTTCATACCGGTATTACAAAAGTCTGTGTCCTAGAAGTTTTATGGACAATATTTTCTTTTTCCATAGAGATTCCTACAATGAAAGAGAAGCAGAACCTTTGACAACAATGCTCAGTGCAGCTGTTCATGGTTACAAGGCCTTGAATTGATCAGGGTTGCAGGAGGTATTTGCCGTAGTGTCCTCTGCTATTCAGCATTTCCAAAACTTGGAGGATTCATGTCCAGGAGCAGAGAACCCAGAGAAGCTGACTTTAGTCAGTGGGTGGATGGTGGTGGCTGGACTATGAGCTCAGAAATGCTCATTAAGCCTCAGCCTTGACAAACTGCACCTGGACTAAGCCCATATTGAGCATATCAGAGACAATAGCTGTTCCCAAGATCTAACAGGTGTCTAACAAGTACCTGTTTTTTAATGAACAGCCTTGGCAACTTATTTTTCTTGCCTAAATAACAACCCAAGTGGTTGTTATCATATTTTTCTTAAACAAACCTTCAAAGGAAGTTACTGACTGAATTGTGGCTACGATGGAAAATTCCCACTCTCCTGGGGTCATCTAAACAAGGGTCCAAAGTGAGATCTTTTTCTGCTCTTGACTCCCAGAAGATAAGGGGGTAATGTGTGCGTCTCAAACACTGATAAATGGATGGCTGTAGAGCCAACAAAGGTCTGTTGAAAAAAATAGACAAGAACTGTTGGTAATAACCAAGGATTGTTGTTATTAACACGGCAATGAGAAATACCATGTTTTGGCTGGAGAAAGGCAGCCAGAGCTAGGGCATTTTTCTGTGACAAACAACTATAACACAGCACAGAAAATGGACATGGACTACAGGGTGGGATTAAAACTACCCATTTCCAGAAGACTTACACCCATTTCCAGAAAGACTGGAAGAATGGACTGCACACGATAATTAATTTACAGAGAAAGTGAGAAACACATCTTTGAGGTGAGCAAACCTGCCCATAAAGAGGTATTCTCCCAAGCCCAGGCAGTGTCCCCAGACATCTGGGGATTGATTGCCTGGACATCTCATGGGCTGGGCCAATGCAGGTGGATTGATGTTTAAACCAGGACTGACATTCTATCAGCTGGATTCATGCTGGAACCAGGAATGGTGATCTCTTTTTCTAACCATTTATTTTTAATCGGAAAAGGAACTTAAATTCATGTGAGTTCACAGCAGCTTGCACTAGGTACAGTGACTGCCATCTCTTCCTGTGATCATTCTGGGGGACTGATAAAGTTCTTTAGATGACATTCTTATTTTTTTTATAAATATGGAAGCCAGGGCTGCCAGCCCTTTTCTCTTTCCCCTACCTCAGGCATACAAATTAATTTCCACCTGCAGAGGTCACAGAAGTGATGCTTTGGGTTTTCCTCAACTTCTTTAGAAGGTGACAAAGAAAAGTCTAGTTGATTAAATATAAACCCCAGATTATAAAAAAAAAACAAAACCAAACACCAAAAACCCCCAAAGCCAAACCAGTCACAGTGGTTTCAGTAGCCAAGTAATGAACAAGTGAGACACCTGCACAGGTTATTTGAGGTCCAGTGAAGGGAGAAGACTTCCAGATTTCATAAGACATTTTATGACGTGAGAACCATATTTTTGCTTATTCCATTCTCCAGCCTCCTTATGTTGTACCTTTCTATTTTTCTTGCTCCATGGCTCCATTCTTCAGCTTTATGCAAAACACAGCTATTACTAAGCAAATAACCTGTGTTTTATGTTCAGTAGGCCACATTATTATGCATATTAAAATCAGCAAGAGACTACTCAAAAATCTGTGCACAGCACAGTTATTAAGCAAAGCTGGATATGAACAATGCATTTCTTGTGCAATGCTCATGTCATTCCCAGCTGACAAACAAAGAAAAGACAAGAAAACACATTTTTAGTTCTAAAAGGTGACTTCAGGCAGAGAACTGGGCTGAAATTGGACTGTGGGCTGAAATGCTTTAATTGGCAAACTTTCATGACCCTTTGGCTCAGAAAGTGTTCCATGTCCTGGCTCCATCTGACATCTTCCTGTGTGAGAAGTGCAGGCCCCTGGCAGATACTCTGGAAAACTAGAGCTCAGAAATACTAAACTATTTGAGGCTTAGGTTCATGAAGAAATACAGTGTTACCCTTCAGCTGTAGAAATCAGCTGGTTATAGAAAATTTTCCCTCCTAGGAAACAAAGGAGACTGGGCAGGGAAAGTCCATGAAAGGATGTAATTAGCTTAGGACAGAACCCAGACTAAGCCTGATACTGGAACTTCCACCTAAGAGTTTATCATAGTGCAAACAGCTACTACAACCATGTTGAATATATTGTGGGCTGTATTTCACACAGGGTCGCACATTGTTCAGAAGTAATGTGCACAAAATATTACAGGCTTTCCAAACATTTCCTAACAAATCCTGATCAAAGGAGTTACAGTTTATTTCTCCATCATTATTCACACAACATTCAGTGCAAACAGATGGATAATGAATCAGCAGTGGGTGGACTCTTAATTTTAGAAGCAATAATGTGGTGCTTCATTTGTCTGCTACCAAGAGCACCGGGCAAAATACTCAGTAAATACCTGTCTTTAATAACTTTAAGGCTTTTCTTGCATACTTATAACCAACACACAGACTCTAACACTACTCAAGCTATAGGGAGAGAAAAGACCTAGGTTAATGCATTTTGAGATCAGAACCAGGTTAAGTCCTTGGATGTTTATGGCAAAACCACCAAGGTTTTCTACTTTGTTAGTAAGATTCTTGGATCTTTTAAAAATCACAGAAACTTTAGCCAGGGAACACAAAGGAGCAGTTGATCTGTTTCATCAGACTTCATAATTTCCTTCCTGTCTGCATGGCAGTGTCACCTTGTCAGTGTGTCAGCTGGGGTGCACTGCTCTGTGATAACAACAAAAGTCTGGCACTGACTTTTGTTAGAACCCTCATTGCAATGTGAGTTCAGGTCCTAAACAAGGGAAGCAAAATTCAGTCTAAGTTCAGACTTCTATTGAAAGGGCACAATTTAAATTTCAAATGTTCAACAATGCATGGCATGTGAACAAATGTAGGGATCCAGAAGCTGTTTAAGGATCAGCTTCATTTTAATGCTCATGAGACAGGGGCAGGGAGAAGAGAAAACTGAATTAGAAGATCAACAGCAAGGACAAGTTTACAACATGATGCCTCCACATGCAGTGCCTCAAAATCAATGAGCACTTCATTTGCTTATACAAGGACTGATAAAATGGAGAGAGAAGGGGATCTTCCCCCACTGATAAAGAAAAAAGCTGCCCCCAAAACAAACCCTCTTTTTCTCCAAAAATCCATTGTAAGAAAAATGCCCCATCTAGAAGATACAGAAACCTCTCATGCAAGTCAGCAGTCATCACTGGCACCCACCGTGGCATATAAAGCTGAGTAGATGCTCAAAGCAGCATGTTTGGATGGAAAGGATCTCCTGGCCTTTTCAATCACCTCCACATCCCCTGTGCAGATGTTGCCATTGTTTATGAACTGGTGGTGGGCCCGACAGTCGTTTCCAGTGTAGTTGGGTTTGCACACAGTCAGGAAGTAGGGAGCCAAGTTCCCAGTCACAACCTGGCCAGCATTTACAAAGATGTCAGTGGCAAAAAGTCCAAATGCAAACACTCCTGTGAGGAAAGGTTAAAAATAGTGATTATTCAAACAGGTTTAGAAAATGTCACTATACCTGAGAGGGAGACACATAATGAGAGTATTATCATGTACTTATAACAAATCTGTTACAAAAAGATAGGATCTCTGAACCTGAAAGAGCAGTGTAGTGCTGAGACACAATTCTTCTCTTATCTAATATAACTACCTAGGATTAAGAACCTTTTGGATTTTGACTATTTGCCACCTTGATGGTGAAAATTTGCAATCCTGACGTAGCAATATTTGGCATGTACTTTTGAAAGCAACCCAATGCTTTGCTCTGGAAGACAGCTGCAATTCAGCTCATGTCACCAGGAGCACATAGCCTGTGACATGAAGTATTCACTTGAATGCAGGAACTTTTCAGGGTTGTGAAGCATCTCTTGATCAATACTGCAGTTGTCACATCCTTCACTGACGCCCCTTGAGTGTTATCAACACAACTGCTATGAACATATGAGCATCTTGCAGATGCATGTAATGCCTGCACACCAAAGGTACAGAATAGTAGGTTTGCAAAATTACCAAAAAAAAATGTTCTGAAAGATTAAATCAGCTCTCCTCTTCCCCTTCTTATCACTAAGGTTGATTAAAGTGTGACAAAAACACAGAACAAATAAATATTGACTTCTGATGTAGGGATATTGAGGATCATGCAGTTTTGCTTTCTCCCTTCTGTAGCTCTGTAAGCAAAAGTCATTAAATTATAAATTATCTGAGATTGATATGTATTTAAATATGACCAAGAGCTGGAGCTCAAGGGAAATCATCTTAGGAAAGCTGTGATAAAATCTTAAGAGCTGGCACCACCATGACTGTAACATCTTCACCGCTTATCTATACTGAGTTAAAAAAACAAAAACAAAAACAAAAAACAAACAAACAAACAAAAAAAACAGATTAAAAGGCTGCTCTAGTCTGAGCAAAAAAGTAAAAAAATATGAGGGACTCAAAATAATGCAGCATGTGCTGACAGTAACGTACAATAAAATATAACTAAAATGGATTTGTTGTACAAGTGTTGAGTGGGGTTTGCCTGTGCCAGTCAGTTAGAGACATGGTTTGGTGTCACTGTGGCACAGATCCCTTGCTGGGGTACTGATGGGAAGAGCCCTTCCCTTGGGAAACAGCCTGGAGGGGCTGCAGCACTGCAGAGCTGTTCCTCCTCACCATCCTTCCCCAAGGTCAGCAAGGAGAATCACACAGTAAGACTATTCTGGAGGCTGAAGGTTTTACTATTCTTCATGTATGCTTATTTTTATTTACTATTAATGAACTGGTATGTGATCATGAATTTAAAAAGCCAGTGGTGGCCAAAGAAGGAGGCTTTCTGTGGTTTTAGGCTGCAGGACTGGCCCCTGTCTTTTCAATGATGTGACAGTTTTCCTCCCATTTATCTTGCTAAGTGTGTTTAAAAAGAGAACACAGAGCCTGCTCCTTTATTTCCTTTATCCCTTTGGTAATATTTCAAATCCATGGTTTTCCACACCATCAGGAACTTCTCACCTACATTAGTCAGTGCACAAGCAAGTTCAAAGGAAAAAGGCAGAAGGGTATCTTTTCAGCCTGGGGAAACAGCTGAAGTTATGACAGAGAAGAATCTTGTTTTATATACAGCACTCTGTCAAAATTTTTTTTGGCAAAGCTTGCTTTAAATAGAAACTTTCTGATGTGCTGTGTAAATTACAGGGAGTACAGTGAGGATTATTACCTAGCCTTTACAATAATTAGAGGAAATTTAAGTGTCAGGCAGTCTGGCTCATGGTATTTATCATGTAAGTACATGCCAAGAACCAAGACATTTCAGGAAAAGGTCACAGACTACACAAAACTATTCCAAACTCTAGGAAGTGCATATATACAGAGGTACTTCTGTCCATTAAGAAAAGAAGTTTTAACACTTGCATTTTCCTAATATTTGGTAGCACAGAAAGTGGCGGCCCAAATGCAGCTGCTGAGGCCTGCAGTAACCTGGAGAAGAGCAAAGCAAGCCATGGCTAAAACCTTTGTCACATTCTGATTGTGGTGCATTTTGTCTGCTGCAGCTCCTCTCTCACAGTTCTGCCAAGCTGTGCTCTGTGAAAATCACAGCCATGTGCAGCAATGAGTCTGGCGGCCAGGGATGTGCTCCTCGCAGGCTGATTACACCTCACATCTCTGGAGACTTGGAGCAAGGGTTGGCTGTAATTGATTTAAAGGCTGTAATGCCAGTGTGCCTGGGCAGTGCTGGACAGTCCCTGAATGTTTTTGTACCTCAGGAATCCATCTGTTCAATAGATTTGTTCAATGACCTTCAGCAGCTAAACTAACTGACCAGAGCACAAAAATGCAGTGATGTGATTGCCAGCTTTTTAGAGGCAGACAAATTGCTCTGAAAGGCTTCATGGGAAGGGCAACTAGCCCCAGCTCTTCAGGGTCATGCAGCTCATGTCTGTGATATAATGTCAGAGAGAAAGAATGAGAGACGACATGACTCTTCCAGACTTTGACACCCAGGTGTAATTGGAGGTGGTGTCATCCTGCTCAGCAGCAAGTGCTTTTTTTCAGTGTGTTCACTCTGGGCCAGAAAACCTGGGGATGAACTGTAGTGCAGAACTTGGCATATGCTGAGAAAAGATGGGAACAGTGCAAGCCACATGGGCAGCAGACCTACAGCTGCTCACTAGGAGAAAGGATGAAGGTTAATTGCAATTACATAAAGCTAATCTTTCCCCTCAGCCACTCATGCCACATAGTCTGGCTGCAAAAATAGGCCTTAAAGAATAAGCAGAAGCTATGTCTGGAAACGCCTCCCGACTTCTCATTGTACTGACTACTCTCAGCTGTGCTAGTGTCCCAGGTGCAGAAAGAGGTGTCTAGAAGACAAAACAATAAGCAGAATGTAACTGGGAGAGATACTAGCTTAGACCAGATAAAAGAGGGCAGGCTGTACTCCCTGCTACTCTCTCAACTGCTCCAGAGTCCAAGAAAACAGAGATCAGACTTTAACATATCTTTACCTCCAGTGCGAAAGACCTTAGACAAATTAAATTTTCAAGCAAAAAAAAAACCAACAAAAAAACACCAACCAAAAAAAACCCCAAGGAAAGTCCTGTTAAAAAATGTTGAGGATGGATGAAGTGAAGCCCTGAACTAACATTTGCCTTGGCATAAAAGTCTAAGTATTTAGCAGCTTCAATTTTGAACGCTTCAATTTTAATTTCTCCACTTACACATCCCTCTAAATAACTGTCAGAAAGTCCTAAATGAACTCATGGCTTCTGGGCTCTGACTCACATCCTATTCTCATGTTCTATCTTCTATCAAGTTCCTTCTGTGGCATTTCATCAGTGCTGCCACCTCCAGCGCTATAGTTTTTTCTAACAGAGGCTTCTGCCCTGAAGAAGAATCCAGCTCTTGTCACTCATGTGAAATACAAAGCTGTGTTTCGTGTCAGGTACCTACAGGCAATGTGTGTATTTGTGATTGTGCGGAAACTGACCATGGGACAATTATAAAGACAATTCTAATAAATAACTGAGGAAGTAAAGCATGGAAGAAGGCCTTTGAACTTATCCTTTGTTTGCAATTAACCTTTATAAGTCTTAAGTTGATTTAGGAGCATTTGAATTAAAGCTTTAAAGATGTTGCTCTTTGACAGGAACTTTCTGCTTCTAGCTAAGCCTTAAAGAGTTTTGCAGTAATAACCTTTTGAAGTATAATTTTAGAATATTGCTTGTAGTAAGGATCTTTGAAACTACAGCTTTAGAATACATAAAAAGGAAACATGCTTATCTCGCCGCCTTAACAGAATACTGAAAAGCAGCTTGAGAAAGGAAGATGAACATCAACTCCAGGATTGATAGTTTTGAGAAGGGGAAGCTGGACATCACTGTTATGAGATTTATAGTCCTTGCCATTAAAAGGTGAACCCACATCTGGAATCTGGACCTCACCAGCTGGGAGACTTCTTTCTTCTTTCGGAAGCTGGACCCCACCATCTGGGCATACTCCTTTCTGAGATACATCCTGACAAAAACTAAATCCAATAGTGTATAGAATTGTGACGTAAAAATTGGGAATAGAAACTGCTGAGAAAGCTTATGAGTACCCCTATAAATACACGTAAGCCCCAACTAACGGTGTGCAGTTGGAGGGAAAATTTCCCCCATTGTACCCAGAGCTGTATTGCTCATACTTTACCATATTAATTAATAAATTGATTGCTGCTTGAATATTGGCCTTGCCAAGCTTCCCATTTATAACACTCACTGTAGCCTCAGAGCCTCACCTCTGTCCTCCCTGCAATTCATGTTCAAGCTCTCTTCTGCCACCTTGAATCTATGTAACATCAGTCACTGCAGCTGCTTGTTGTCTCTGTGGAAACTCTTGCTATTAGAGGCATTCAAAATGCCACTGATTTGAAAAAAAAAGGACCAAATCACCACCACAACAAAAATCAACAAAACCCCCACTGGGACTTATAGAGGAGCAGCTGAAAAACATTGGGAAGAAACAAGTGAGAAGCCAGTGGGTGGAAATGAAAATCAGGAAGTAGAAGGCTTTATTAAGGAAAAGTCATGAAACCCTTAAATAAAGTGACAAAAGAAACAATGCACTGAACGGTTCATGAGACATCAGAAGCTGAGCTCCTTAGTAACATGATCATGCTCTCTACCAAGGATATTTATTAGGCACTACTCTCTGCCCCAATTATCTGAATTTCTCACTCTTAACCTAAGTTGCTTGTAAAGTGTTTCACATGCACACTCACACTTGCCTAACCCCTTTCCCACTCCTGTGTTTTTTAAGGAAGATTGGAGTTTCATTGGAAGGTGTCCCTGAAAGGACTCAGTGCTCTATGGGAATGCTGATCCTCAGCCCATTTTTGAATGCTTTGCTGTAAGAATCCTGTGCATCCAATAAAGCCATACATTTATAGACCTGTGACTCAGACTCTGCTAAACCACCCTTCATTTAATCTTAAAGGGTGTGTAAAAAGAAACCTGTATCATTAATCCATTTTATAACAGGAGAGATGGGTATTGCAGGGGACTTTATTGTCCTGTTGCCATGGTATCAGGAACAGGCTCAACATCAAGCTTCTGAGTGCTCATAATCTCATTATATGCTATGATCTTCCACTGAAAACCCCACAAAGCTCACTATTCCAGGGATCTACTATCTTCTGAGTCTGACCATGCCAGAAGAAATTCAGTTCCCAGTGCAAAAGTCCTCTGGAGGCTCAAGAGTCCTTCTGACAGATGCACAGGGTCTCTTCCTTCCTCACTGCTTTCACAACCACCAGTTTTCATGGAGGCAGCTGCCAGCTCAGAGCCTAGCATCAAAGAGAACTGTAAGGCCAGATGTTCCCAGCACAGTGACCTGTTCCTCATTGTGGAGATTCTTCAGTGATAATATCTACAGTAGTTCAAATTGCTGCAGCAGTTTTGGTTTGGGGCAACACCCCCAAATACAGCCTGAATCCTGTGGAAAGGCAGCCAGTTAATAACAGAACATGCACTGTTTCACAGTGAACTTCAGAAGCAAGACAGACAGAAGGATAGGGTCAGGTAAGCTGTCTTGTGCAGCTGCTGAGGGAATTGACATCAGAGCTCTGGGGTATATCTATCCTATTACAATAAACTCAATGTGTGTATAAATCTCGTAAACCTTTATTTGTCAAACTAAAATCTTAATTTGCTGAAATAAAGCCTTAATTTAATTATTTAGCTGCCCACTGTGAAGTGTCACCATGCTTTAGATTAAGTTGTCAACAGAAGCTGATCTGCACCATTTGTTAACAGCAAATTATGCACATCTGAAGTAAAAGCCACTGGTAACAAGCTGATGAAACATGCTGAATTTCTAGATATATGAACCAGAAAGGGGCTACTTGCATGTTATCAGGGCTTTGCAGGTAGACAACTTAATCACATGGATTAGAAACCTAATATAATGCAGCACAATACATACCATACTCACCCTGTTAGACTGGGTCAGGGAGGTCTGAGTCCCTGATCCTGGGGGTATGATAGCAGCTGCACATAAAAGACTAAAACCTTAACTCAAAACATTCACTAAAATATTTTATAGCCTCTATTTGCAATACAAAGGATTAAGTAGAACACAGATGCAAATGCAAGGTGGAATGATGTTAACAAAGTGCTGAATGTGAAATTACAAGACAGAATGAATAAATATACAAAAGGCTGTGTATGCTCAAGTTGGGAGACAGGGAGAAGAGGCAAAGACCCAGGAAACAGCCACCCTTATCAATTAGTTTCTCAAAGGTTCATCAGATAAATAGCAAGTTTTGGCATCAAAAATTGATGACACAACTGCTGAGAAGGGTGGGGAGAGGAGGGAGGGGAGAGGATGTGCCTAAAGTAAAGCAGTGCAGCAGCAATATATTAGAAAAAAAAAATTCTGAAGAATTGCACACCACTAGTTTGACCTCAAAACCTTTAAAAAAAAGTCTGTGAAAGCAGCTGTAAAAGATAAAGAGGAAGATTGAAAAAATTGAAGCATACATCAAAGTCTGATGTTTCCAAGCTAAGCAAGCTTTTTTTCACTGATAAAGAAAGTGGTTTTCTAAATACAGGGAACATAGCAGGTTTCACCAATCTAGGCTGTGATACAGGACTTGATACACACTGCAGAAGGGCGAGAGGCAGTCTTTTGCCACAAAAGCAAATGTCAATCAGCATGAAGGATTCGTGTCTGGGCCGGGAAGCAAGAAGAAATTGTGGCTCTGCTTCATGTAGACAAAGAATAAGGGAAAGATTTAATACAAAGCTCAACATTCAGAGTCTCAACTAAACTCAGGAAGGGAGGCTCTTAGAAACAGGTGTGTGCTGAGACCTTGAGGAAAACAAGGAGAGAATCAACAGAGAGCACAGTAAACAAGATAGGAAAAAAACAGAGAAGAAACATGGGGCTTTGTTAGCATTCCGGAAAAGCTGTAGGTTTTTTGTTTTGCTCTGCTTTCAAAGTGCAAAAAAGTCCTTAATTCTGTATACATGAAGGAAAAGAAAGAGCAGAAAAGCTCAAATCTAGCAACGAGAAGATCCAATGGAGATTGCATTACAAGAGTCTTTATATTTCACAGGCCCAAAAGATGGCTTAAAGTTTCCCTTTTTGCATCTCTTTCCTTGCAAAATATAAATGAACATTCAGTGAAGTATCTACAGCTTTCTGCTTGTTTTGTGGAAAGCACATTTAGGCTACAATTCTTAAAATCCTATCTCTTCCCAGTTACACGTAATGCAACTCCATTACAAAGTTAGGGGAGGGTAGAGAAAAAGCCTTTTTGCACTCCTAAAATTTGGGACCGGCAACTCTCAAGGTTCTCCATTCTGTGCCTTGCAGGGTCAGACAGTAGTGTTCATTTTCCCTGACACATGAGAACCTAGACACATTGCAGGATTTTTCTTGTCCTTTTGAATAATATAAACAGTAATGCCTTACAAGGCAATTTTCTAAGTAGTTAAGTAACTGCTTTTTGCAGGTACTTATTAAGACTTGCTCAAACCTCTGGGTACCAAAACTAAATTGGCAGCAAACTTTTTTTTTTTTTTTTTCAACAAGCCAGACTGCTTGCTAAGGAAGAGAACTTACTTGCAAGAGAACTTAGTTAATCAGCTCTGTAACTTTTGGCGCTAAAGTTTATCAAGAGAAGGCACACACAGAGAAATCCATGTACAAGCAACCTAGTCATCTTTGCACAGCCAAGCACCTGGGAAGCTTCATTTTGGAGTGGGCTAAGTATGGACCTAACTTCCCTGGACTATTCAGGCACAGAGTACAGCTGCTCAGCCCATGTCATGTTTCCAAAGGACAGGTGAAATGCAAAATGAAAAACATGCAGTTATCTTCAGTTCCTTTCATAAATTATTTCATCCAACAAATTCTATTTCCCTCATTTCACTGCAGAGACAGGGAAAAGGTTTCAGAAGAAAACAAGCACACAGTGTTGTTTAAGACAAGGCAAAGACTTCAAGCCTTTTCTAATAATATTATCTTCATTTTTCTCAGGAAAACAAACACAGCTGCAAAGCCAAGATTCATTTCCCTAGCATGGTTTATGTCCCACTACTCTTTAAAGTCCACTGTATCATTGCTACTCCCTTCTCTTCCGTCAGAAGAGAAACAACAGCACACTTAAGAATAAAGCTAACTATAAGAAAACATACTGAGCAAGAACTTAGCCTCCATGATCTAAAGACTCTAATGTTGACCCCGCAGGCCAGAGTGCTTGATTGGGACTTTGCAACATGCCAAATGTGCTGGAACAGTCGAAAAGCCCTGAGTGGCCCAGTGGACAGTGGTACCCTGCATCTCTCTTAATGGCAGTTGGCTGTCCATCAATATATCCTGGAGGTTATGTGAAGTTCAAGGGTGTTTTACTTTTAACTGCATTTCTGTGTCTTTCTGTTCACCAAAGCAGCACACAGACCAGGTCCAAGTAACAAAACACACATGATTTGCTTCCACCTCCATAGTGGCAGAATGTACATTTCACTCCCTACCTTCCATGCATAAAGCAGGAGGCACTGAGAGAACTGAAGGAGAAGGAAAACCATGGTTCTTCCTCCTTTGCATCATACCTTTGCTGATGACATATATGCTAGCACCTTCAACTCTGTGCTCTGAGGAAGTATCCCTGCTTGCAGCCAGGGATGTGCTCCATGGAAGCAACAAAACACCTGCCACAGCCGCAGCAGACATTTTCATTCCAGGTAAAGCTCAGAAATTAAGCAGTGACAGGGAAGAAGCACCCCAGATAATTTCAGCTTTCCCCCCACCACTGCTTGTTGTCAGACCATGAATCTGGCCTCAGCTCTCTCCCTGTGAGAGGCAGTGTGTGAAGGTGCTTCACTTCTGAGAGTGCACAAGGAGGGCAGTGCAGTGATGGCAAAGCCCCTCTTGGCCACTGGGGAGCATTCTGAAGAGCCACTGGCCCATGCCATCAGCCAGACATCCCATCGCACGCATGAACTGGGGACTCATCAACAGGGTGAAGAAGGTAAAGCGGTTTGCAAGCACCATAAAAAGCAACCTCCTAATGGTTTAATGACAGAACTTCATTTCTCAGCAATTAACTCAATGAAAGCTCTAAGAAAAAGCAAATACAATGAAAATAATATTATTATTTTGAAGTGAGCTCTGGGCTTTTTTACGTTGTGCTCAGCTGAAGATTATGTGGCAGAGCTATGGATGTTGAAATTAGAGCTGAAAAGAAAAATGTCAGATAGATGAGCTGGTGAGGACAAATTTTTAACTAAAATGGGTAGCTCACATAAACTAGCAATGATGAATTTATTCATATAAGGATTTGATTGGTAAAACCTTTCTTTAAGGGTCTCAAAAAAGCATTAAGCTCAGCAGAATATGATCTAAACCAGCTCCAGCCAGCATGATATGGCAAATTTTGAAAGTTACCTTGGAAATCCTGAGGGGACTATCCCTCTAAGGTGGAAGATGCCTGCAAAGATTTCACAGCTTAATTAATTTTGTGATGTACTTTGTCAGCATGTTTCATCCTGGTTTGCTGCAAGCAGGGTCCAAGCTTGCAGTGCACAGGATGCTTACCTATAAAACGTATTATTCTTCGAAGCAGTGGATTCAGGTAACAGCACTCTCCAGTCAAAATAGTTTTCTCTTGAATAATGAGGGTTTCTCGGGTTGACTTTATGAAATACATGGATATCTCACCAATAAAAATCTGCCAAGGAAAGGGAAAGAAACAGAAGGTTAAAAATGACATGAGCAAACATTGAAACCTGGGTGTCTAGTTCCAGCTCACAGACAGCGCTACACAGCCCTGTTTTGGGGACACTGCACTTGCACTGTGGGGCTCAGCATGACTGACACACACCCAGCTCCCACCCTCGGGAGGATCATTCCTGCACTCAGTGGTAGAGAGACCCAGAGAAGCTGACTTCACTCATGGGGAAGATTGTGGGGGTGCATCTCTCCCCCCTCCCCTGGCTGCACTATGAGCTGAGAAATGCTCATTAATTCTTGGCCTTGATAAGCTGCACCTGGACTAAGCCCTTCTTGAGCATATCAGAGACACTGTCTGTTCCCAGAAACTCTGCTGTCTAATGAGGATTTGTTTTTTCACTGACAGCCTTGGAAACTTATTTTTCTTGTGCAAATAATAACCCAAGTGAAATAATATTTTTGTTGTTGTACTTTCAAAAAAAGCTACCAACTTGAATTGTGCCCAGGGTAGAAGATTACCATAACTGCAGCCCACTCTCTTGTGACCCTCAGAACACAGGTTCAAAGTGAGATCCTTTTGAGCTCTCAATTCCCAGAAGATAAGAGGGTAATGTGTATGTCTGAAACACTGATAGCTGGATGGCTGTGGAACCAACCAAGGACTTTTGGCAATAACAGACCAGAAATGGTGGTAGCAATTAAAACACTGTGAAAAAGAGCAATATTCATCTAAATGTTCTGTTATCAAAAATGAAGTCTCCACACAACCACTGATCATAATGTTACCTGTGCTTATGTATTACATATATTTTGTATGATCTGAACATTCATGCTTTCTAGAAATGTAATAGCTGCTTCCCACAGGAGTAGGATCATTTCTTAAGCACTTAGAACTAATTTAGTTCCGTTGCACTGAGGCCTATCTACCCTCACTAAAGCTGGACAGAATTTAATCACAGGCTTTAGAGGCAAGGATGATCCACACACAGCAGGAACCTCTGAAAATATCACCTATCATGTTCTGTCAGCAGGCTTTAGAAAGGGAAACTGGGACCCTTTTAGAAAGACAGAGTTTGTAATTAAGTCTTTAAAAAAACCTAAAAAACAACTGCCTGATGTGGAAGAGCTTAGCTTTTAAGGGGAAGCACTCGAGATTATTAATTTAATGCATTATTGCAGGACATACACAAGAGAATCCATAGTGTTAGGGAATAGTCAGAGAAATACATAACAGAAGTGTTTGTGTACACACACACAGGGTGGCACAGACACCCAGAGTTAGTATAAATGTCAAGGAAGTCACCTTAGTTCACTCTGACTGCTGGAATGGTGAGTTGTTTCAAGGGCAACAATTTATCCTTATTAAGCCAGATGAGTGTCCTTATTGATTATTGACATTCAAGCCAAGTATGCTCAACCTCTTTATAATTCTACCCACTGATGGCAAGAGCTGTGGAGCTGTAAAATGCATGTCGATAACGGCATCTGGAGGGGAGCTGATGCATGGGAGCTGCACTGAAATATTGCCTTTATCCCGTTTCACTCCATCTGCTCTTAACAGAATTGGCAAGCAGTTCAATAAGCTCAGCTCACTAACGATGGGGCTGGGAATTAAGAAAAAGACCATCTGCACTAAAGCAGTTTGAAAGTGACACTCTGTTTCAACCCGTTTATTATTTGAGTTATTACAATGTTCAGAAGTTTGAATTACTGCTTTGGCTCTCTGTCTGCTCGGGGCTGTACACACACACTGAAAGACGATTCACACCCTGAGGGAATCCCACACTGCGAACACAGGGGCTACTCGACTTTAAAACATCCTAAACTTTTCAAACATGAGAGACTTAGTCATAAAACATACTAACAGTCCTCCTGTAACTATACATCCATTTTTAAAGTTCCTTTACATCAGAAGTTAATGGAGTATTTTCCAGCTTCAATCCCCATCTTTGTTTCTATAAATCTAGCTGTCTGGCATACTCCTAGCAACTCCCATGTGTATAGATTAGTTCCACTTAGATTTAGGAGTAAATGTTGCCAGGTTATAAATCTGTTCAGTTCCATTCCACTGATTTAAGCAGAATTATCCCAGATTTCCTACAGCAGTTCAAAATTTGATTTTTAAAAATGAATACTGCCTTTGGTTTAATGCAGAGTTTAGATATATGGCAATAAAGCTGTGTTTGTGTGGAGATACAAAGTGATTCAATGTAACTGGACCATTCTTGTCATGTCATCTCTGGCACTAAATTTAGTTGCTGAAATTTGTTTTCTAATATGCTTAATATGGGCTCTCTAGAAAGTCAGCCTTGATGTTTCCAAAAAATTCAGTGGGCAATTGGACACCTGATTCTGAAAGCTAATCTGTCTGTGTGCAGTTGAATGTGGTCTGAATAGCTCTCAAAGAACTTGTTTGTTTTGTTTTTGGTTTTTGTTTTTTCCCCCCAGGCATTTCGAAATCAAGTAACTCCAGTGATTCTTGTGATTTAAACCCTGATGATGCTGCATGAGCAGGGTCCACATCCAGCCAAGTTGTCCAGCTGGCCTCCCAGAATCAATCACCAGCACTACTGAGTACCTCAGCTCCTGCCAAAACAGAATCAGCACTTCAGGAATGGTTACCAATCAGTTCTATAGCTCACATCTAAATATGGGTTGAAAAACAAAACAGCAAGCAAACCGCTTTTATTTCTGTTTGGGAAAACAATGCAAGGCTAATGAACTTCTGTATCATACTGGCTTTATTAGGCACTAGAAATGTCAGGAAAATTGCACTGGATTGAAAGCATAAGTGATCTGCAGTCTGGCATGGTGTAGGTAATAGGGAAGCAAAGGTAGTGCCCTGAATGTGTTTTTGTTCTTGGTTTCCTGAATAAAATAGCAGCTCATCTACACTGAGGACATATTGCTTGAGAACTCTTGCTCACATTCCATTTCCTATGACTACCAGATAAAAATACAAGGATGACCCAAAGCCCCAGTATGATTAGAATTACCTACTCAGCAGGCATTTTTCCTCTGCTGATTTCAACCTCTCCAGTGAGAAAACTTCTTCAATTTTCCCTGCCTTCCCATTACTGGCAGTGTCACCAAATATTTGCCCCTCAATGTTCAGCTCTCAAAGCCCTCTGCTGCACACACTTTACTTATTTCCTGGCTCATCCTGACCCAGCAGATGATAAAATTATCTGTCCATTTTCCTCTTCAACAGTCTTTTATCCATGATAGTCCTTCAGCTGACATTTTCAGACAGTGAAATGTCTCATCTTCCCCTTTCAAGTTCTCAGCACAGCATTAGTGCCTGATACTCTCTGCACTCCTGTACAGATTACTGACAGTTCGTAAATTTAATTATCAATTTAATCAACAAAATAATGGAAGTATTGCTTTTAAAAGGACGTGGCATCTTTTTTTTTTCCCATAGCACTTTCTGAGAAGCTCACACAAAGCATCATTTGTACAACTTTGTTTAAAAAAAAAAAAGTGAACATCAAGAAGACCTGTTTCTGTGAGGATGAACTAAAATAAACTATGCAGGAATGTCTCTCTGGTACAACCAAGAGGAGGTTGCAGAACAGTGGGATATTGGAGCTGCTGTCCTGCAGTAATTGTGCAGTGGGGCAAGGTTGAGGAGCTGATTTGAAGGGTTGTATTAAATTTAGAAGAATAATTATTGATGGTGCTGACAGGCACAGATGGGCCCAGCTTTTGGCCCCCCTTTGCTCCTTTTATCAGTTTTTCTCAGTACAGGACATTGGTCTTGTACTTCAGTTCAAATGCTGTAGCAGAGGTGAGGACTGCATCCCTTCTTCATTCCCCTGCCATGCTTTTGTTTACTTCTCCAGTAGCCAAAGTATTTCTCCTTAGTCATGTTTCTCCAAACTCCTATCCATGTAAAGTGCCACAATCTGGTTCCTCCTGTGCTTCAGTCATGCTGCCCCAGTCTCACCTCTGTTTTCTTCCCTTTGAAAACCCACTACAGATTCACTGCAACTCCAGCTGCTCACCTTTCTCCAGTGAGATCTGCCCTGAGTGACTCCTTGCCGTCCCACTGCTGCTGGCAGAGGCTGCATCCCATGTTGGAAAATATCCTAATGATATATTTTTTTTATAACTTTGTTCATTTTTCACAGGATCACAGAATTAAACTAGCTTGGAAAAGACCTTTGATATCATCCAGTCCAACAGATGTTCACCTTTGTCCCAAGGGAAGGGAATAAGGGTTTATTTCCTCTTTCCTTTAGGACATCATTCCACCAAGTGAAGGTCTGATGAACTTAAAATCTCTACAGACTGGGAAGAGAACAGAAGATACACCAAAGGTAACAGCCATCAGTGGCCAGCAAGTGCCATTAATAGACCATTAACTCCAAACAACAACCCTGGTCTGCAGGAGAGAGAAGAACAAGGACCTACTTAGCACCAAAGGTAAAAATATCTGTAAGTAATAGGAAACCAAAGACTAAGAACTATATAACCAATGAACATTAAAGCAAGGAATATCTATGGGTTTTGACTATATAAAGTTTGTGAAAAATATCATAAAATACGTGTGGCATGGAATGATTTTCTCTGCACACTTGGCCTACATGAGGATGAAGTTATTTCTGTTGCACATCCTGGGCAGAACAACATCCCAGTCAGAAATAAAGTAATGCCTTGATTCTCTAACACAAAATGTTGTTGGAGAGTTTTTGTTTTTCCTGCAGTTTTGGTGACACTCACAGCCCTCCTGCCTCCCCTTCACTCACTCACTCACTCACTCACTCACTCACTCACTCACTCACTCACTCACTCACTCACAACAAATGTAAAAACACCATTTTTGTAATTTTTCACACTTCCAGTGAACACTGGGGTTGTGCAGAAGTTCCCACTGTCTTAATTTCAGCTGCAATTTCACACAGTTAAAGAAGGAAGAGCACCAGCCAAGGTACATGGGAGAGATGCAGGATGCACCACTGTGCCCACAGTTTGGGACTGCCTCAAGTCTGTCTC